TGATTTAGCATTCATTTATAAGTTTATAACCATTACGTGTTAGTTACTCTTATTAAAATCATGATGTGAGTTATTACAGACATTTCTGAAAAGAAACCAAGAATAATCCATTATTCTAATTATTTGACACCATGTTACAGTTACTTCTTTCACCTGTAAGTACTTCCATAAGTTTAAGAGTAAGTGTAAATATTCTTATAATCAAACCAACATCAACCACTGGTTAAACCAATATTAATTATTGTTTTAATCATAAGTTATTATTAATTTAAGTATTTTACTCTGGGTTTTATCCAATTACTCAAAATGTTTAGATTTTATTCTTTAAACCTTTAATGCCTTGAAATGAGCACTCTGAACTATTTTTATTCACTGCAGTGCAGGCTGGAAACTTCCCCTTTCTTCAGGAAACCTGCTCTTCCTGTTCCATGACTCTCTTTCTGCCTGACTATGATTTTTTATGATTAAATAGAAAAAAGTAGAATTAAAGCAAAGTTTGCAGGACACAATAACAACAGGACACAATAACAACACACACAACCAGATTAATTTTATTACCGTCTGACTCTACTTTTGGGTCTTGATGTCACCTGTGTAATTAGTTTTAAAGGTAACTTCATTCATTGATACCATTGCTCTAAAATCTCCAGCATGGGGAAGTGGGATGATCTCGACTTTTCTCGACACTTTTTATAAAATAAATTAGCTGTAAAATGACATAAATGAAACAAAAAAAACAGGATTTTGTTCTGGAATTTGAGATAAATTACTTTTAAAAGAAAATCCTTGAGAAACTTTATCATTGAGTCTTTTCAAACCTGAAGGATTTTCTTACAAATACACTGCAAAAACATAAAATATTACCAAGAATTTTTGGTCTAATGTCTTGTCTGTCATACACTTGAAAAATGACAAAACTAAGTTACAAATAATATTTTAATAAGAGGTATGAGCTTTTTTAAAGTCAGTAGTTCCTTAATATAGACAGTAATAGACAATAAACCAAAATAACTTACTAGTAACTTCCTCTTTATAAAATGTGTCATAAATGACAAAAATACAGAATCTTGTTCTGGAGTTTGAGATAAATCTCTGGAATTGCATTGATTTACCTTAAAGTAAACAGAAAAAGAGTCTTTTTATTTAAACCCTGAAGGATTTTCCTACGTTTCAGCAAAACAAGCAAATAATAATTTAGATGTGGCTGTTTCTTTCCTTGTTTCTTTGATTTGAGTGTATCATAGCAGCCAAAACATGAGTCATGTTGTTGCATTTCCAGCTGTCTTGATTACCCTGAAAAGGGCCAAAACCTGACGGGATGAGACATGCCTGGAGAAGGGGAGTATGTGTGCGTGTGTGTGTGTTTGTACGTCACAGCGTGAGCATGTGACAAGCCCCTCCTGGCCCGGGCGTGTATAAGAGACCTGCTTTCACCCTGGACAAACATTTACTCTTGTGGATCTCTCAAGCAAGACTTGCAAACAAAGACAAAGCAGACAAAACTTTTGGACGTTTTTCCTCGTGAGACAGCATGGCATCTGCAGGACTACAGATCTTGGGCATTGCCCTCGCCATCATTGGCTGGATCGGGGCCATCGTCTGCTGTGTTCTCCCCCAGTGGAAAGTGACGGCCTTCATCGGCGCCAACATCGTCACGTCTCAGACCAACTGGGAGGGCATCTGGATGACCTGTGTTCACCAGAGCACGGGCCAGATGCAGTGCAAGGTCTACGACTCCATGCTGGCGCTGAGCAGTGACCTCCAGGCGGCCCGCGCCCTCACCATCATCTCCATCCTCGTTGGCATCCTCGCCCTCCTCCTCGCCATCGCAGGGGGGAAATGCACCAACTGCATCGAGGACGAGAGGGCCAAAACCAAGGTGTGCATCACAGCCGGAGTCATGTTCATCATTTCTGGCCTTCTGTGCATCATTCCCGTCTCCTGGACGGCTAGCACCATCATCAAAGAGTTCTACAACCCATATTTGCCCAATGGAAGTAAAAACGAGCTTGGAGCATCACTCTTCATCGGTTGGGGGGCCTCCGCCCTCCTCATCCTGGGCGGTGGACTTCTCTGCGCCAACTGCCCTCCCAAAGACAACTACTCTGCCAAGTACTCAGCCCCTCGATCGTCTGCTCCCAAGGACTACGTGTGAGAGGGCCAAGACATAAAGAAGAGACTCTGTAATTCATTTCTGGGGAAAAAGTGTTTTGGACTTTGGTTGTGTTCAGGATTCTGTCTGATTTGGTTCATTGTGAGGACGAGACGGCGGCCACGCCCGATTAACTGTCACGGGAAGCAAGAAAGAAAATGACGACATACCTGGGAACAACTTTTCTTGTATTACCTTAATTCATAGTGTTGTGTTTTTAAATGCATTTCATTTTGTTTTTATTCATTTCGTACATTTATTTTTTACTATTTGAATTATTCACTTTATAGTGGTTTCTGTCTGAAAATGTAAATAAAGATTTTTTGTTATTAATACTAACATTAAGTAATCTGTTTGATTAATTTTTGTTCAGAAATTAAACGCTTAAGACAAACTGCACTGCAGAAACAAGCAAATAATAATTTGTAGTACCAAGTAGTTTTAATCTATCTCCTTGTACACATGAAATAAGGCAAAACGAACCTACAAGTAACTTTTCAGAAAGAAATCAGAGCTTGTTTTAAGCTAAGAAATCCTTAATATTCATAAAAAAATAGTTCCAGTCCAACTGGCAGATTATTTCACTTGGGAGAAAAATGTTATAAGTGAGATAATATGCCAGTGGAACTAGAACTGCGTTGCTAGGTAACGGGCAAGTCTTGGCTGGCGTTGCTAGGTAACAGCGTTGTGCCCCATCAATATTAAGGAATTGTTCTTTTAAAACAGGCTCATATCTTTCTGAAAAGTTACTTGTAAGTTAGTTTTGTCTTATTTCACGTGAGTTTAAAATATCCGCACTAGAAACTAGACAGAAATTCTTGTGTGATTTTGTGTTTCTGCAGTTTACCCTTCTGAGCTGATCTAACACTTTTCTGGGTAAATGTCTTAGATTTTTCTCGATCTGTTTCCAATAAAAGCAAACCTACACTCCTTTGTGCAACATTATTCATCGTTAAGCTAATCTCCAAGAATAAGCTTCTGAAAAGATTGTTTTTCTAGATTCTTTTCAAGCGTTTGTAACCAACAAGTGTTGGATAGGTGTGGCTCTCTGGGAAGAGCAGCTTTGTTTTCAGCTGGGAAGTTGAGGGTTTGACTCCAGCCAACCGTTTCATGCAAATGTTCGCTTCGGCAAAATACTTTACCCAAACTTTCCTACAAATGCTGTGAAAACGGCAGCGAGTTTGATGGGATTTGATGAATTCAGTCCTTTTTTGTGAAGCAGAAGCAACATGGATTCTCTATAGTTACACTGAATATATCAGTTCCTGAGCTAGCTATGTTGTAATTCTGCCGTTCAGCATCTCTTAACAATTTAAAACATTTTCTGCCAGTTTGAACCTTTCTTTAGGCACTTTGTCCAAAATACAAGGACATTTATGACTTTAAAATATGAGCACTTAGAGAATTTCAACGTTTGAGAACATACTATCATAAATCAGGAGGTTTTTTTCTTAAAAATACAAACTTAAATTTGTAATATCTTTGAAAGGATGTTACTGAGCTGCCTGGGTAAACAGCTGTGCAACACTGCCCCTCACTGGTAGAGGAAGAAAAATGATCTTCTCATTCAAATTCTTAATTTAGCCAATTTAAGCATTCTCTTTAAAAATTAGGTTGATTTTGTAGTTAATATAGAAGGGACTAATGCAACATCATATCATAAGTAGCAGCAGCAACACATCAGCTTAAGTAAAAAATATGTGTGAAAAGCTTTAATACTCTTTTTTTTATTGATAAATGTTAGAAACTGATCAGTTATTAGCACTTGCTTTCCTTTTACATATTTTACATATTTTTTTTCTTAAATCTGAACTTTGGTGCTTTTATTTTCCATGAATTTAAAATATCCATGGAATATTTTAAATTCCACGAATTTAAAATATATGAAACATGCAGCTTAAAATCAGGAAAAGCAGGGATTGTGTGTTAAAAGAAGCAGGAGAATAGAAACAAAATGCTCTCTTTGCAACAGATTGTTGAAAAGAGACTGTAATATTGTGACAGAAAAATATAGCATTGTGTGTCATCAGCATAGACGTCTACATTTGAAACAATAAGATTACACACACTGAATAAAGATACACACCTTTTTTTTTCTCATCGTCTGAAATTAAATCAGACCAAACCTGTTCCGTTTCAGGTCAGTCAGAATTACAATAAAATATTTCTATTGATTAAATGCAACAATAGTGAGAGATTTATTTATTAAAATCAGAAAGCAGCGTGTTCCAGTTGTGGCCTTAAAATACGTCCATAATCTCAGCTTTACCTCATTGGTAAAGAGGCACTAATCGTTCTTTACGTAAACTTTGGATTTTGAAGATATTAATAAATAAATTAGTCATATTCTCTCATATTCTCATATTCCACACAGCTAATTAACGTTAGCTGTGTGGATTGCCTTTTGTAACTGAACAAAACACACTGAATTCCACATCACATCTACATGTTAAGGTTATCATAGTCAAGCTAGCATCACTGACTTACTTCCCTCTTTTCCATCATTAAATCCTTTTCCTGACCTTGTTATCATAGTGTTGATAATTAGTAGCAAATCGCTGTGTCCCTTTTTCTTTATATATCACGCAAACATTTAAGATTTTGTGCGTTATGTTGACAACTTAACAGCTGAAACTACTGCTAGTTTCAGCTGTTTTAGCATTTTTCCCAGGGAGATGGGGTCCACATTGAAGGGGTATATTGTTAAAAGTGATCAAACTTTTCCTTCAATGAGGTTCCCAGCACTGATCACATTAGTTTACTGATTGCTCACCTTGAAACTTGCAGGTCAGCACTGCATTAAGGACACCTTGTGTTTGTGTACAAACACTTCCCAGCCAATAGCTGCTGAGGTCGGTGGTATCGGCTACCCTCATGTTTCTGTCCACTCTGCTCACATAAGAACCTTTACAGTCCAGCCTGCGACATTTCCTCTGTTTTCTCATTGAGTTTGGCGCGTCGCAGCAAGGCAGGAAGATGGTTTCTCAGGGCATTCAGATCACCGGCATAGTCATAGCCACGATCGGCTGGCTGCTGGACATCGTGGTGTGCGGGCTGCCCATGTGGAGGGTGTCCGCCTTCGTGGGCGCCAACATCATCACGGCTCAGACCATCTGGGAGGGCTTGTGGATGAGCTGCGTGGTGCAGAGCACAGGCCAGATGCAGTGCAAGGTCTACGACTCCATGCTGGCGCTGGAGCAGGACCTGCAGGCGGCCCGCGCCATGATCATCGTCTCCGTCTTGTTGGGCATTTTGGGGGTGTTCACGGCCATCGCTGGAGGAAAGTGCACCAACTGCATTGAGGACGAGCGATCCAAGTCGAAGGTCTGCATCGTTTCTGGAGTTATGTTCATCCTCGCCGGACTCCTGTGCCTCATTCCCGTCTCCTGGTCCGCCAACTCCGTCATCAACAGGTTCTACAACTTGATGTTGACTGGAACGCCTCGATACGAGTTGGGAGCGTCGTTGTACATCGGCTGGGCAGCTTCTGCCTTGTTCCTGATTGGAGGGGGGCTACTTTGCTGGAATTGCCCCGCCGGTGAGGAAGACCTGAACTACGTTTCCAAACCCAGATTCACCCCAGTGAAGACCGCTTCCACATCCAGAGAATACGTATAAGGTTTCCCTCCTAACACGGACACGAAGGCTCAACACAGCTGACATGTCGGCTCGTATTGATCTTACTGATGGATCCACGGAAAGTGTAAATCCTGTACGAATTCTCAGCTTTTGGTCGGTTTTATGAGGAGGTTTGATCGTGAGACCAAAGGTGTAAATGATAAATAAATGTGGTAAATGTTATTATTTCCTGTAGTTTAGCTAATTTAAACAGGCTTTCTGTCATAATGATTACTTTGGAAACAATCTGTTTAGGTAATCCAATAAATGAATATTTAATTCCTTTTGAACATTGTAAGAGATTGTATTAATTATTAAATGTCATTGTGATCATTTATATTTTTAAAGAAATTGACCCTAATAACAGACACATCTATGTGTAAATAAATACGTAACGCTTTTTCTTTTACTTTTAAATTCTTTTTGTTCTCCATATACTCATGTAACTTTACTTGTTTTTGTGTTTGTAATGTAAATAAACTCTGTTAAAACTGGATTATTACGTTATAGTTCCGTGGAAAATGTAAAAATTAAATAAAATATTACGCAAGTACTCGAATATTCTTTCAGTTTATTTCCTGGTTGGAACATTTTGGGTGAGACGTCCGTTTTAACACTTTTCTGAGTTTTAAACCTCAGTCTGAATTTAATAAAACTCTTCCAAACTTTAGTTAACTTACATTTAATTAAACATTTGAGTTTTCTTGTTTCTGTGCTTTACAACAGAAACGAAATGATGATGAGATTGTTTTGAAATATTTTCCAGGTGACGAACTTGTTGGCGCAGCGTCATGTGACCGAGGCGTGTCTCGTTGGTTTTGTGTATACAAACGTTTCAGTCATGGGACGCTGAGACTTTTTTTTTTTTTCAGGAAAGCTTTCGACGCAGACGGAGTTGATCGCAGGTTGTTTTCTGTCAGTGCCGCACCTTAAACCTCCAGTTTCAGGACAGATTTTCTCTCCTCAAATGTTTGTTTTTGTCCCATGAAGCTGCGTCACAAAATACACTTACCAGGAAACACAGTTCAGACTCTCCCTACTGTTTTGTTTGTGATGAAGGAAAAAAAAATCTCCATTTAGTCAAACTCTCAATATTCAGCTCAAAGAACTGAGATGATGAATTTAAATCAGTTAATTTTATACTTGGGGAATCAGTTCTGTGTTGACCTGACCATATTTGGATGAATATTGTATTGATCCTCCACCAAACTGTCCTGTTAAATAAATTATTATTTGTGTTCTGATGAACCTCAGATTGAAAGGAGCTTTTAAAGATAGCAACCTTTAAACTGGTATTAAACATACCTCTAATTAATCAAACAGTTTGGTATTAAAATCAGGTTTTTATTGGTTTCTCTATATTATTATATTAGCTGTGAACAGAAATTGTCATAATTAACAGAAGAAAGGCTTGTAAACATCAATCTGTGTGTAGTTAGTCTATAAATGCTGATATTGTCAGCTGCTCACAAATACTTAAAATCCACAAAAACATGAAATCTGCTCTAAAAACTCTCATGACTTCCTTTTTTAATGGTTAAAATATGTATTAATATGCACATTAGAAGCCATAACTACAGAATATAACATCTACAGATGGTTGGCTTCCTTACCTTTGCTCTCAGCCAATCAGTACCAAGGAAGATAAATGCAGCTCCTGGATTGGCTGCTTTGCAAACGCCAGCCAATGGCGCATCAAGTAGCATTTTAGCTTCCAAATCTGCATTTTCTTTCAAATATTTTAGATGTGCTCTACTGAAAAATCCATAAACAATTCGGGAATCACCTTCCGCAGAATAAGCCGTGAATATTGAGCAGCAAACATTTTAATACTATTCTAATTTATTTAATATTACTGCACTTAACTTTGGGCCTTTTTTGAGTTTGCATACATTCCTTTCTGTTTTACAGATTGTGTTGGAGTGGCTCTTTTATTGGAAACCATTAACGTGTGTGTGTGTGTGTGTGTGTGTGTGTGTGTGTGTTCTAGTCAATTTACAAACCTGACCCAGTTGCAACAGACGGTTATCCACATTGTCTGACCCAAGCACCATCATGTAAAAGATAAATACGCCCATTTAGGAGGTAGAAATAATTCTGGAAACTCTAACTGAGCAAGAAAAGGACAAATTTACTTTGATTTAAACTCAGACAGTGAGAAAGAAACTATTATTTGACAACGGGAGCGTTACAGTTGAAACCAGTTTATGTACACTGGATAAAGGTTAATTAGGATTACCAAATTTGTTTATATTTGTTAAATGCTGTGAAACTTGAAGAGAAGTGAGATTATTTTTGTAACTTTCCTCAAATTCAAAAGTTTAAATACATTTGGTCAGTATCAGGGATCACTAAATGTAATGATTAAAATTTATAAGTTGGGTTAGACCTTTTGGGTTTGTACAATGGCTGCTGGAAGACACCAATGTTTTGTTGTTGACTTACCATCCAGAAACCACTTGCTGCAGTCTTGTTGGTTGCGCAGGAGGCACCACTTCTGCTTTTCAACAATGTATGTTTGTATAATTGTGCATCTGCTTGCAGCCATTTTTATTTATGAGTGTAATCTTGGAGTTGGGGGTGTGGCCAGCAACTTATTTAGATTTAAAGGGACAGTATTATATAAACTTGGCTTTTTTGAGCTTTGCATCGTGTTATTCAATCATCAAAACAAACCTGGAGTGTTGCTTTGATTATTTCATGCATGTTTGAGAAATCCTTTGATCTCCATGGCAACTACTCAACTGAGCAAAATGCCAGGGTGGACCTAGCCCCGCCTTCAAGACCCAGCTCATCCTCAGAGCTGCAGTTTCTGAGCTTCTGCCACGCAGAGCAGCCCTCCCCCACTCAGCTCCTTCAGACTAGCCAGCAGCAATTAGCAAACACCTGCTGAGCTGATTATAGTCACTACTTTTCAGTGCAGCACTGGTAAAAATGTTGTTAAAGGGTTAATAGAGGAACCATGTTGTGATGAATTCCTGAAGGTGGAGTTTCAGAAACAACAGGAGTTTTTAAAGAGACAGAGACCCAATTTCAAGGTGTTAAATTAAGAGATAAAATTTATTTTAATTCATATTTGATAGATACATCATTTTTATAACAACGTAAGTTAACATAATTACTTGATTGTGTTATAAAATGACAACAATGTGCCTGGAAAACAATACTGCTCCTTTAAATGACAAGAGGAGACTGGAGTCTCATTGCAGTCTGCTGAAATGAGACTCCTCACATTTTTTGTAATATTTAGTACAAAAACTGTAATGAGCATGTTTTCTACAGACCTAACCTGTTCAAGGAAGCATAATGGGTCACCTTTAAAGTAGCTGCCACTCCTCTACCTGCAAGAGAAGGAATCTTGTTTGTCCAGAGGAACTCACCTGACAACAGGACAGCACCTCCTCCTTCCCATTCTGTGACAAGCAGCCAGTGAGAGAGCTGCGTCTCTCCGAGAACCAACTCATTCTTGCCGCGGACGAAGCCTCTTCACCATGGGGAGGGTTGGCAAGGAAGTGGCAGCCCAGGTCATCAGCTTCGTAGGCCTGATCCTGGCCGCCGTCTGCTGCGGCATCCCCATGTGGCGAGTGACCTCCTACATCGGCGCCAACATCGTGACCGGCCAGGTAGTCTGGGACGGGCTGTGGATGAACTGTGTGATGCAGAGTACGGGTCAGATGCAGTGCAAGCTCAACGAGTCGGTGATGCGGCTGTCGCAGGACCTGCAGGCCGCCCGCGCGCTGGTCATCATCTGCCTGATCGTCGGCTTCATTGGCTTCATCATCACCTTCATTGGGACCAAGTGCACCAGCTGCTTGAAGAAGGACTCCAGCAACGCCAATGCAGTGATCATCGGCGGGTGTCTCTTAATCCTGGCAGCCATCTTGATCCTGGTCCCCGTCTGCTGGTCGGCGGCAATCAGCGTCTCAGACTTCCAGAGCCCCTTGACCATCGAGACACAGAAAAGGGAAATTGGAGCTTCTATTTACATCGGTTGGTGTTCGACAGTGTTGCTTCTGATCGGAGGGATCATCCTGACCACATCCTGTCCTCCCAATAAGCCCTATTATCCAGCCTACAGAGCGCCGATGTACACCTACGGGCGCCCGAACACGGCGGCGTACGGTCCAGTGTACGCGGCGCCGTCCAACCAGCCGTACACCGGGACGTACACCGGGAGCTACGTCCCCGCCAAACCCTACGCAGCTCCAAGCGCATACTCTGCTCAGCCATACGTCAGAAACTGAAACTCTGGTTTGCACTGTATCATAAAACTGCATCTCAACAGATACTGTATTTTTAAAAGACGCTTTGTAATCCAGCAAAATGTGATGTAAAAGTACTTTATTCAATAGCTCTGATTCTGGAGGAATGTTGTTCCCTCTTTCCTGTGTAACTCATGCATCGCTTTCTAAGGAAACAACTGTGGTTGTATTTACTTTCCAACTTTCTGAGTTGCTGTGACTCATTGTTTCCCAGAAAAACTGCTTCAATAAAATGATTGAGTCTTTTTACATTTTTCTGTTTGTGGAGTCATTTTATACAACAATAATAAAAGAAAAAAGATGGGGTTTTATTTTTAAGTCACATTAGAATTATGGAGGACTAAAACTGACTAAAAATAATAGGGATACATAAGTAAAGAAATCAATACACTTAAAACGCAACATTTTATTTAAGAACTTTTATGTAAAAGTTTTTATGAATTAATTGACTTTCTTTTCCAGTTAAATTCTAACAGTATAAATTTTACTTCTTTTAATTTTTTTCTTATTTTCTTTTCACCCTATATATAGATACATTTATTTATCTATATAAGGAAAAATATATCTATATAATTTTATCTTAAATTTATCTTAAAATTTATTTAAGAATTTTTTTTTATTTATCTTAAATAAAAAATGGTAACTTTTTAGTTTTGCAAGTAAAATACAATCTATGAGTTTATATCTGTGCCCAATATAGACACACATACATTTTACGTGTATATATATATATATATATATATATTGTGTGTGTGTGTGTGTGTGTGTGTGTGTGTGTGTGTGTGTGTTTGTGTGTGTGTGTGCTTTACAAAATAGAATTGGAGACACGAAAAAAGTTTGTCTGCCATCATAAGAAGTTGTCAAACGGCCTGTAAAGGTAATAAATTATTTTAAACATATTTGTAAAAATTTCAAAAGTCTTCTTTAATTATTATTTTTTACATAAATACATCTTGCTCATTAGGAATTGTCTTTGGTATTCCATGACATCTTCTACTTTTTAATTGATTACAGTTTTTTCAAGAGGATTAAAGTAAATAAAGTCATATTTAATAAATTAGAATAAATGTCTAGATGCGGCTTGCTTGTCAGATTAAGAGGAACCAGTTGGTGTTATGCATACTTGTCGTTAAATTCATGTTTCTGTTTTATAAAATGTCATTTATATTGTTCTGACGTAATAGTATAATTATAAATGTCAAGTTTCTTTTATTAACTTTAAGTGGAAAATCATTTTAACATATGAATCTATTTGAAGTGTTTAACTTCGTGACAGTTTCTTAAATAATATATTAATGTGCTGAACGGACCTGTAGTAAAACCAGGAAGAGACTCCCTAAATGGAAATAAACAAGCACATGTCCGGTGAAACTCTCCATTTTAAAAACCTGAAACCAGTTCTTGGAAGCGACGTCCCAGTCCGTCCAAGACCCAACAGCGTCATTTGTTGTTTAAATCAGGAATGCTGATCGTCATCTGCATAAGGTCATCCATCTTGTCGAAACTGTGCCTCAGCTGCACAAAAAATGATGTGAAAAATCTGGTCAGACTGGTAAATCTCCACACAAACTGGTTCAGATCCGAGGTGAAGCTGCTCTGGCTCCGCCTTCAAGCCGACGTCCTTAAAACCAACTGGGCTTTGAAAGCGTTGGCATTAAGCTGTTCAACGGGCCGACCTCTCAACTCGTTTGTCTTCTCTGCTCGGTTCTGCTCCAACTCAAACTCCATCATGGTGTCAATGGGACGACAGATGCTGGGCTTCATCCTGGCCGTCATCGGCTTCATCGGGACCATCATTACCTGCGCTCTGCCCATGTGGAAGGTCACGGCCTTCATCGGCGCCAACATCGTGACGGCGCAGATCATCTGGGAAGGCCTGTGGATGAACTGCGTGATGCAGAGCACCGGCCAGATGCAGTGCAAGATCTACGACTCGCTGCTGGCGCTGCCGCAGGACCTGCAGGCCGCCCGGGCGCTGGTGGTCGTCGCCATCATCGTCTCCGCCATGGGAATCATCCTTGGTGTCGCCGGAGGGAAGTGCACCAACTTTGTTGAGGAGCCGCGCGCCAAAGTCAGGGTGGCCATCGCGTCCGGGGTGGTCTTCATCTGCGCCGGGGTTCTGGTGTTGGTCCCCGTGTGCTGGTCCGCCAACACCATCATCAGGGACTTCTACAACCCGATCATGACCAACGCCCAGCGGCGGGAGCTGGGCGCCGCGCTCTACATCGGCTGGGGCACGGCGGCGCTGCTCATCCTGGGAGGGGCCCTGCTCTGCAGCTCCTGTCCTCCCAAACACGAGGCCCCAGAGTATCCGATGAGGTACAGCCAGGAACCCCTGAAGTACAGACAGGGACCCTCAACTGTCGGCAAATCTTTGGCCAGATCCGTAGCCAGCAGCCGGGCGTACGTCTGAAAGCTGAGAAAGACTGTAAATTACTGACATTCGTAAGCGACATGCCTTCCATGTGTCTTTCTGAAAGAGTGATTGACTGACTGAGAGGCTGGATTCTTGAAAGAAATCTGGGAATCCTTAGCTGGGGACCTTCTGAAAGAAGAAAGATGTGGTGTGAGTTACGGTCCAGTTTTTACACTTACTGGACCGTATAAGAGCGTTGTGTTCTCTGAATGTGAAGTCTGAACTGGTTTATGACCATTAAGACTAACGATTGACTTTGTACAAGAGACCAGTGATATATTGTGAATTTATTGTATAGTATTCTGTCTATTTTAAACGTTATGATTCTTTTTTTTTATTATCACTTATTGAATTGTGTTTTTGAACCTTATACCTTTGTAATAAATTGTGGTTATCATATTATTACTGTTGTCAGAGATCATTTCTTGGTCAGAGATTCCCTTTTGGTTGCAAACCTCCAGAAACACAAAAGTATTTATGCTCTTGTTTCGAGTGCAGATACCTCGGTCCGCTTAAAATAAGTAAAAACTAAATCACAAGGAACTTCAGCAACATGTCGGAGCTTGTTTTCAGTCAACAATTTAGTAATATTGATTTCATAATTAATTGGCAAATTGTTTCACGTATAACACGGGAAAAATGTCATATAAGTGAAATAATCTGACAGTAGAACAAACTGGGTTGCTAGGCAACGGGCTGGGGTTGCTAGGTAACGACGGCAGTGAAACTAGGATTATTTCATAAATATTCAGGAATTACTGACTTAAAACAAGCTCATATATCTTGCTGAAAAGTTACTCAACCAAAAATACTGAGAAGGATTTTGTATTTTTGCAGTCCAACCACACAAATTTCACAATTCAAAAGTGTTTCTTTGATTCTCACAGATAAATTACATAAACATTAAACTTTCAAAATCTACCAAATAATAATACATATCTAAAACTATATTCATGAGTAACAGCTGAGACACTTTTTCTTTCTTGGAGGAAGTGTTAAAACGTGTCTGGGGGGAAACTTTTGTGCAGTGAAAGTATGTAAAAACATGCAACTGTTCAAACTCGTCAGGCTTTTTCCAGCCCAGTTAAACCAGTTCTACTGTCCGGCCCAGAGTCGGAGCCTTTTCGGTTCCTGTTGAGTTTCTGCCAACATTACACACCTCGTTACTTACACGGGGAAAAAGGTTTGAGTGTTTAGAGGTAGAAAATAAGGTTCACTTGTTCTGAAGTTGTGTTTCAAAGACCTTAACTTCACAGTGAATGAATGTCACAGAGTTACTTTTGGTCAGATTCAATCTGATCAGTTTGCTGTATGAAAAATTAGACTTTATATTTGTGGGAACAGAAACAAAAGGAGCACTTTCTATCTTTATTTGAGCATGTATTACAAACTAAAACTAAACACATTCCCACCAATCTGGTTTTTACCAATTATGGGGCATTTTATACCTGATTTATAATTTTATATAACCTCAGTTTCATAGAATGAAATAAAACTTAAATTAGGTTTATAAAGGCTTCAGAGGCCAAACTGGAACCATCATCAAGGGAAACAGGATGTGAAGTAAGATCTTCAAAAAATAATATACAATAATTTCCAAACAAGAAAAGAGGAGTTTATGATTATTTATTCATACAAATGTGTAAGCATTCAGAAAAATATGCAACAGGATAAGAAGAAATTACTTGTTTAGTATAAAAGGAAGAAATGTGTGAAGTGACTACAACCTGAACTGGAGCTGACATTAATTAATTAGCTTTCTTATACATGTTTTATTCACCAATTAGTGTACATACAACAAACATTACATACTAACAAAAAGGGATGTGGATCAACAAAATAATAACAGGATAATAGCACAAATTAACATTTCCTGTTTTTTTTTTTGGTTTTTTTTGTAAAAACTCTCAAAATCTGTCATGTTAATAATCCAGTTGACTTCATATTAAAAATAATCTTTATCATTTTTTAAACATGGGCTTGTTTGAACAAACTAGTTTCACATATTGCATAATAGAAACTCATCAAATCCTTTAAATCTTGATTTATGTAAACTCCTATAGTCCGTATAATGAATGGAATAAGTTTCATAGCTAATATCTATTTTTACTGCCACTTTGATCAACGCCTAATCAAAGCTGCCAATCAGGTAATTAAAAGATGGAGCTGCTTCACATATTAAACTTTATTTAATATGTGATCCAAATGTTTGTCTGTAACTTCTGATAGTGAAGAAGTGGTGAAATTGTTGTGACTTTCAGAAATGATTCCCATTACGTGAGCAGAGTCAACACACCCTGTCCTGTTCCTGCTAACTTATCTGGTTTCACATTCCTGCGTCTGCTGTCAAGCACGCCGACTGACTCGCCCAGGAACCGGTTCCAGGCGCAGGAGTTCACCTAAAACTCAGCGACGCTTCCGCAAAATCCCACACAGTCAGAAGAAAACAGCTGAAACTGCAGCTCTTATTTTTAACTTTTAGTGCCTGGAGTGAGTAAACAAACTATGGGTCTGAAAAGAAAAGGATTTATAACATTTTCTGTACATAAAACAATCTGTAGGCAAGTCAAATTCAAAATTACTTTCTTGATCCCAAAGGCAAATTAAATGTAGCTCATATTAAATCAGATTCAGAGTTAGATAGTGATGGCTGCTGGCAGGAAAGATTTCCTATAGCAGTCTGTATTACAGCGAATCTGAAGAAGCCTCTGACTGAAGACACTCAAAGGTCAAAGGACCTGGTCTGATTTTAAAATGCTAAAAAAACATTAAACTTTAGTGAAATACACACAAAACAAAGATAAACTTAAATATTCTAAAAATACACGAGTCAAAACATGAATGTTTATTAATTTAGTGTAACGATTGTAACTTAATCCAGTATCAAAGTATTTCTCATCTTGCACGTCTGTCCTGTTTCAAATGAATATAGTTGAGCTCAAAATTATTCATACTCCTGGCTGGTTTAACCTAAGATTATTTTCATCCAACCAGGAAGTCTGATTATTAGAAATGAGACGTACATACGTAGTCAACTTTGGAAAAAAAAGTGCATATTTATGTTTTATTCTAAAAGGGTGTCAAAAAATATTTATTACTGATTACCTTCTCAATAATCAGTATAAAAGTCTTTTTTTGGTATTGCAGGAATAAACTCAGATTTTTTGGTGTTTCCATTGGTGTTTTAATTAGAAGTTTATTGCTACACATATAATAAACTAGTTTATTATAAAGTCGCCATATCAAACTTCCTACATGGTTGAGTTTCACTCACATAAGATTTATTTACAGCTAATTTCTCAAACTTCCTGTGACCTTCTGAACTGAGTCTTCTAGTAACTTATGTATCTAAATGACACGTCATCAGCTTTTAAGATAAATGAAGAAAGAGGATTAAACAGTGTGAGTAAAACTGCTGCTTGTGGTTTGAGGGACTGATTTATTTTTGAGAATGACATTTAAGATTGTGAAACATGGGAGAGTTATGTTAGCGCTAATTTAATAACATAACATCCTGCAGTTGTGAAATATTTCATGTTGATTTGGTGAAAGTGAGAAGCTAAAATGATCCGACTGTCTTTGCATCTAATTACACTGCAAAAACACGACATCTTACCAGGTATATTTGGTTTAGTTTACTGCAAATATCTTAGCAAACTTGAAAAAAGGCTAAACAAACTGACAAGTAACTTTTTAGCAAGATTTGGCAGCTTGTTTTTAGTCAAAAATAATTTTTTCCCCCTTATTGCTTTTTGAATGTCTTCATTTCCTGCAAAAACACAAAATATTACCCTTTTTTTTTTTGGTCTAGTTTATAGTACCAATATCTTAATACAACTGAAATAAGACAAAACTAACTGACAGGTTTTCAGAAAGATGCGGGAGCTTGTTTTAGATCAATAATTCCCCAATAGTGATGAAAAAGTTCAGATTGATTCGCTTGTGGGAAAAATGTCTTGAACTTCTTCATCAATATTAAGGAATTATTGACTACCAACAAGCTCAATGCATATGAGCTTGTTGGTAAAAGTTGCTTAAAAGTTACTTGTTAGTCAGTTAGTTGTAAGATTTTTGCATAAGAAACTGGACCAAAATACTTGGTGATACTGTGTTTTTACAGTGTTCAGCTGCTTTAGGCTTTGTCATCTTTGACAAACACTCCCGTTGCTCCACATGACAAACTGTCATCATTCTCTGCAGCCTGATTTCTGGTTACTGATGTTCCAGGAACAGCTTGTGCAGCATTCTGGCTCATCTGTACTCAGAAAAATGGTTGAAACCCCAACCTTTATTGTCCTTGCACACAAAACCCGCCTGCAGGTGAGGAATCATTTGGCAGGCCTTCTAGTATTTCCCTCATAGCTTGGCGTTCACACCTCCCATTCTTCTGCTGCCTGAGGTTAACACAAACACCCAGGCGCCACTCTGTATTCTGCCAGAGACGCACAGCGATGGCCTCCATGGGGTTGCAGATTGCCGGTTGCGCCTTGGCGCTCTTCGGTTGGATCGGGGTTCTCATCGTCTGCGCGCTGCCCATGTGGCGGGTCACGGCGTTCATCGGCAACAACATTGTGACCTCGCAGATCATGTGGGAGGGCATCTGGATGAGCTGCGTGGTGCAGAGCACCGGCCAGATGCAGTGCAAGGTGTACGACTCCATGCTGGCGCTGAGCAACGACCTTCAGGGCGCCAGAGCTTTGGTGGTGGTTTCCATCGTCGTCGGCATCGTGGGACTCCTGATTGCTTTCGTCGGGGGAAAGTGCACAAACTTCATTCCGGAGGAGAAGGCCAAGGCGAAGGCCTCGGTGGCTGCAGGAGCCATCCTGATCGTCAGCGGAGTCCTCTGCCTCGTTCCCGTTTCCTGGACGGCCACCATCATCGTCCAGGACTTCTACAACCCTCTGGTGATAGACGCGCAGAAACGAGAGATCGGGGCGTCTCTGTACATCGGCTGGGGCGCCGCGCTGCTGCTGATCCTGGGAGGGGGGCTTCTGTGCGCCAGCTGCCCCCCAAAGGAGGAAAACGCCCCCTCTGTGAAGTATCTGCTGAACAGACCAGGAGGAAGCAGCAAAGGAGAGTCGTACCGATCATCCTCACCGACGAAGACGTATATTTGAGACAAACTGGAATTCGGACTCAAAAACACAAAATCTTACTGAGTATTTTTGGTCTAGTTTCTACTGGAAACATCTCGGCACACTTGAAATAGGACAAAACTAACTTACATGCAACTTTTCATCAAGATATAGGTGCTGGTTTTAAGTAAATAATTCCCTAATATAGATTTTTAAAAGCAGTATTTCCTCTTTCGCCTAAAGCAAGACGTTTTCCCAGGTTAGAAGTGAAAAAATCTGCCAATGCAACTAGAACTTAAATAACCTAAACAAGCTTTATGTCTTTCTGAAAAGTTACTTTTAAGTTAGTTTTATCTTATTTCAACTGTACTAATATACTTGCACTATAAACTAAACCAAAAATTCTTGGTAAGATTTTGGTTTTTTGCAGTGAAGGACGACATTCAAGCAGCATGAAGACAAAAAAAACTGTTTTTCAACCTGAAGTGAAGGAAATCAACACTTTGTCTTCTTATGACAGTCAAACCTGTGTTACTTTTTGCATTAAAAAGGTTTAGCTTTAAGTTGTACACTTTTTTTATTCATTTTGGAAAATGTTTTTTTAAGTTATTCTTTTTCATTAAAAGGACGTTTTGTTTGCTGGCTTTAAGCACCAGCAGGTGATATTTGAACCAAACACAGCAGGAACCAGTTTGGCCGGTCAAACCAGATCAAATCCCAGGAACAAAAGCGGTGACTCGGGGAATCACAATGCCGTAAATGTTTAGCTCCGTTTGTCCGACATTCATACAGAAAGGACAGTAATTTGACCAGAAATTTAGCAGCTTAAATCTGCACAAACGGTTTTTAAAATATGTTTTTTTAATGGATTTGGTGTTTTTAGTGACACAGCAGCAGCATGACGGGTTTGATGCTTTCTCAGCCAATCACAATGACACTTCAGATGAGGAAGACGGAGTCAAATTACGCTCAATCTTCCTCTTTTACTCAGACATTACAGGAAATATGCTTTTTATGGTTTTCTTGTGTTAATATGTGTGTGATGCTTTTTTTTTACGCCTCATACACTTTTATTCAAAAATAAATATGTTTTAATTTAAATTGTCTTTCATTTATAACTGTTAAAACTTCTGGTTTAAAAGACAAAATACACTGAAAAACAAAATCTTCAGTATTTTTGCTCTAAGTTCTGGTGCAAATATCTGAGAACATTTAAAATAAGACAGAAATAATTACAAGTAATTTTTCAGCAAGATAAAAGAGCTTGTTTTAAGTTGATAATTTCTTAAAATTGATCAAAAAGTATTAGTTTTATTGGCAGATTATTTCCCTTATAACATGAGGAAAATGTCTCGTTATAAATAAAATAATCTGGAAGTGAAACTAGAACTTTTTCATCAGTATTAGGAAGTTATTTACTGAAAACAAGCTCCTGTATTTTGCTCAAAAATTACTTGTGAATTAGTTTAGTGTACTAGAAAAAAGACCAAAAATACTTGGTAAGATTTTCTGGTTTTGCAGTGTAAATTCATCTTTTATTACAGATTATTTATTATTTTTAATTTAACATTGTCACATAATAAATAAATAAATATAACCTTTAATTTTATTACATTTATTTATTGGGGGTAATGTTGAATGAGGAAACAATTATTTCCAGAAAAATTACTGGAGTCACAATTAAAACTACAAATTACAACCCCATCAGGTAAATGTAAGGAAAAACATTTCTATCATTATTTGACTTTTATATTATAATTAATTACTTCCTGTCTGCATAATGTTATAAATATGATGCCACAAGTTCTCCAAAAATGGAAAGAAAAGAGAACATTTCCATTCATGTAAAGCAGACCTCCTCTTTTTTTGCCCTACCACCACAAACGTAAACAGGTTTGCTAAATGCTACCTGGACTTTATTTTAGAAATGTTCGACAGTTTTCCTTTGTAAAACCTGTAATAACCTGTCAGGTGATTGGAATGAAAAACAGAAACGGAGATAATTAAAAGAACAACGATCTTTGTATGCTTCAACTTTATTATGAAATGTTACAGATTGTGACTCTTTATGCAAAAGGGAGTCATATGAGTGCTAACTGATTTTTTAACTGTATACGTTGGAAATACTGTTGTAAAATTAGTCAACATATAAAAACCACTCATGTTATGAGTAATAAATGAGCTAAATTAAGATGCCACTTAAATAGCAACACAGCAGTTACTCTGATAAAGTCCAGATATTTTAAATTGGATCAGCAGCAGGATAAATTATCTACAAGGTGAAAGATGTTCTGAAGAAAAAAACTATATTTCATTCAACTCTGAAAGCTCAAACATGTGACGTAAAGCTTCAGAAGTGCAGCTAAATAAAAGAGCAAAGCATGACGCTGCATTATGTTTCACCAACCTCACGGTTTGACTTTTTCATCTTCTCTGTATTTTGTCCTGCGCTGCCACCTAGTGGCCATCTGGTAGCATGGCTAAAAACACTGGGTAGTAATAAGAATCAATTTCAGCATTCAGGTTTGACATTTATGCTGCTATTAATTTATTTTCACGTTTATGTAGATGTTAAATGGTTTGACAATAAATCCAAAGTGTATAGTTTTATATATGTAACTTATCTTTGTAGAGATTTAGTTGGTTTTATTAACTTGAAAAGGAAACGGGGTTTCTGTGCGTTTCACCAACTCAAATCTAAGAATTTTTAAGACTGTTATGAATTAAAACAGATCTGTATCACGACAGAAAGGTAGACAAGAAAATCACACATTTTATATAGTATTACACTGCAAAAACACAAACTTTTACCAATATTTTTGTCTAATTTCAAGTGAAAATATCTTAATACACTTGAAATAATACAAAACTGACATAAAAGTAACTTTTCAGCAAGATATAAGAGCTTGTTTTAAGTCAATAATTCCTTACTATTGATACAAATGTTCCAGTCCCACTGGTAGAATATTCCACTCCACTGTTACCTAGCAACCCCAGCCAAGGACCTCCCGTTACCTAGCAACCCCAGCCAAGGACCTCCCGCTACCTAGCAACCCCAGCCAAGGACCTCCCGTTACCTAGCAACCCAGTTCTAGTTCCACTGGCAGATTATTTCACTTATAACATGGGAAAATGTCTTGTTATAAATGAAATAATCTATCAATGGAACTAGAACGTTTTCATTAATTCTGAGGAATTTTTGACTAAAACAGTTTCTTACGTCTTGCTGAAAAGTTGGAGATATTAACTCTTGGTAAAATTGTGTGTCTTTATGGTTCAACGTCTATTTGTTTTATTAAAACTGGTTGGATAAGTAATGTGGTGTTTCCGATTGGACACTCAGAGCCTATTGGTTGTGTTTTTAACAGACTTTAAGGCTCCCATGGCTCTGCAGGAGCTGGGCATCAGCCTGTCCATGATGGGCGTCGCCGGCACCATGTTGATCTGTGGCCTGCCCATGTGGAAGGTCACTGCGTTCATCGGCACCCACCTGGTGGTGATGCAGGTGTTCTGGGAGGGCTTGTGGATGACCTGCGTCAGCGAGTACACGGGCCAGATGCAGTGCAAGCTCTACGACGCCCTGCTGGACCTGTCGTCGGACCTCCAGGCGGCCCGCGGCCTCATCTGCATCAGCCTGGTGTTGGGCTGTCTCGGGTTCCTCGTCTTCATCCTGGGAGCTCGCTGCACCAACTGCCTGGGTCACCCGCGGATCAAAGCGCGGGTGGTGATCGGCTCCGGCGCCATCTTCTGCCTGTCCGCGCTCACCACAGTGGTCGCTGTCGCTTGGACCGCCAACACCATCATCATGGATTTTCACAACCCCAGAGTCCCAGAGGTGCTGAAGAGAGAGCTGGGCGCAGCGATCTACATTGGGTTTGTGACGTCTGGGCTGCTGTTCTGTGGAGGAGCCGTTCTCTGCGTGACCTGCCCACCAGAACCAGACAGATTCCCCTCCAGTGGCTACATGCTGGCCAAGACTCCCACCCGGAGCAGCTACGCCATCAAGAACTACGTCTGAAAACAGAAACTAAACCACAACGTCTTGACCTCTGCCGACCTCTTCAAGCCTTTTACGGTGCCTGCTCCTTAATTACAATCTCTTCACTGCAAAAACACAAAAAATGACCAAGTTTTTTTGGTCTAATTTCTACCGCACATATGTTAGCACATTTGAAAAACAACAAAACTAACTTACAAAAAACTTTTCAGCAAGATATTATTGACTTAAAGCTGCAGTCAGTAATATGTTTATTAACAATGTGTTAAAAACTGTCACCATGTTCTGACAGTTTATGTCAGAGAAAAGATCAATCTCCTCCACCTTCCTGAGCCGCTACTGCCGTCTGAAGAAATTACCGAAAACAACCAATCAGAACCAAGAAGAGGGGCTTAGAGCTGTCAATCAAGCTTGTGTGCATGTGTTAAATGTGTAAACGAAACAACTTACTGTTACAGAAAAAATTGTTTATCTTATGCTATCAGTGGCCATGCTAACTGGCTCTAGCATTCACAACAAGATCTGCTGACAGGGAGAGACTGTCATAGCAGAGCAAGACAGAGGGGGTGGTGGGACGGCGCGCACACGGCCATGATTGACAGCGCTAAGACCCGCCTCCTGACTCTGATTGGCTGTTTCTAGTTAGCGCTGGGAGAAGGCAGAGAACCTAAATGTTTTTCACAGATTATCTGTCTCATATCATATTGTCATGACATAGTTACAGTTTCAACAAATATGTAAAAAAAAAAGTTTTATAAAAGTTACACACTGCAGCTTTAAGAGAAAAATAATTTACAAATAAAATCCTGCAAGATGTTACTGACCCACTAAAGCTCCCATTTCTTTCTGAAAAGTTACCTATTAGTTTGTTTTGTCTCATTTATAGTTCTCTAAGACACTTAAGTTAGAAACAAAACAAAAATACTTGGTAAAATTTTGTGCTTTTGCAGCCTGTTTGAAATGTGACCCTTTTTTTTTTTTTTTGTTGCTTAAAGCAAATATTTGAACTGCTATTTTTGCTCGTTAATCATTTGATTTTAGTGGCAGAAATAAAAATGTAAAACATTCGTGTCAAACTTGATTTATTGTCTGAAGTTTCTAACAGATGAATGATCAACTTTGCAGAAGCGTAAATATGAATATCAACACAAGTTTGAACTTGTGACTGAAAACTCACAGCTAAAACTCGCATGTAGCCACAAGCTGTTTTCAGAATCAGGGCCCTGCACTGCAAAAACACAAAATATGACCAATTATTTTGGTCTGGTTTCTACTGCAAATATTTCAGTACACTTGAATGAAGACAAAACTAACAAGTAACTTTTAGGTAATGTATAGAAGGTTGTTCTACTGGCAGACTATTTCATTCATTACAAGACATTTTTGACATAAGTCGCAATAATCGATTAATCTCATTATAAATTAAAGATTGATCATTTCTATTCTGATTATTAAAATGTACTGAAGCACCATTTTGTTTCCAGATAATTCATAATTAATTGTATTTATGATTTTGAGTGCAAGTGTTTTTTTTTCCAGGTTTTATTTATTTATTTATAGTATTAGTTGATATTTAAATTATCTTCCTGTTGCCTTATTATTATGCCATTATCAACAAATATATTACATAAAATTGTTTCAAAAACAACAGCTGGACAATTTATCATCCAGTAAACTTTCTTACCAGGACTTTTTCATCAATGTTAAGGAATTATTGACTTAATAAAACAAGTTCTTATGTCTTACAGAAAAGCAGCATTAAGTGAGTTTTTTCTTATCCATATTGTTCTAAGGTATTTGCTCTATAACCCAGACCAAACATACTTGGTAAGATGTGTTTTTGCAGAGCAGCGGCTGAAACGTCAGAGCACAGCGGTCGTTTTGTTTTCTCCTCTCTGCACAAACGGGGATAAATGGGTTGTTTTGAAACCATGGCAGAGAAAACAGAGGGATTTCCCTCCTCCGCCCAGCGACAGCAGTGCCTTCTTTTCAAGAATGCCAGAGAGCCGGTTCCCTCCGCTCTCTGAACAGACATGCACTGCAAAAACACAAAACCTTACCAACTATTTTTAGTCTAGTTTATAGTGCAGATACATTATCACACTTAAAATAAGACAAAACTAACTTACAAGTAACTTTTTAGCAAGAAACCTGTGTTTGTTTTAAGTAAGTAATTCCTTAATTTTGACTAATGACACATTTCCCCATTTTATTAATTAGATGTTCTACCAATGGAACTGATCATTTTATATTAATATTTATGAATTATTGACTTAAAAGAAGCTCATATTTCTTCCTGAAAAGTCACTTGTGATCAGACTTGGGTCGCTACATTTATTCAATTACATTTACTTCAGTAACTTCTTGTAAAAAACAAACTTTATGAGTATTTTTACTACACTATACTTTGAGTAATTTTATTCTGAAGTATTTCTGCTCTTACTTGAGTAAAATTTCAGGATTCTCTACTCACTGAATGAAAAACAAACATGTTTTAACCAAACAGTCACCAGACACACTGAACACAGATACTGGAGTTTCAACTTTAAAAGACTCAGAGTAACAGGGTTTTATTTTTAACATTATAGATGTGAAATTTGTCACGATGTGTTTAATTATTCTTTGAATTTGTTTTGTATGTTTTGTATGTTTCTGCTGACATTTATATTAAGTTCTGTCGCGCTGCTCTTGGCGGTTGGTGGTTACCATAGCAACCGGTAACCGACGGCTCCGCCCCCTTTTTTCCGTTCGCCGTTCTGTAACTGTGGTACGTACTGGGACCAGCTCTGTGTTTTCTTTACAAGTATTACATTTTAACATAGTTTAGACAAATGTAATAACATTCATATTTATCTGTTTTCATTATTAGCTATGTTTAATTTTACAACTGCTAACTGCCGTTAGCTAGCAGCTAACAGCAGCTAACAGCAGCTAATAGCTCATTGGGATTTATTGCTCTGTACTTTGTTCAGGGTTATTTATTGTATTTTATTTAATGTACAGAAGCTGCTGGACTGATGTTAACCACCATCTTGATTTCCTCTTTTCTTAGAATAAATCCAGTGAACCTGAGTTCAACCTGCTGGACTGTGGCGAACATAGAGGGGTTACATGTGTAACCAAATTGAGTTCCCCAAACTTAATCTATGTATGTTTGTCTAACATTTTAACTTCACATATTTACTTAGATAATCTTAATTTGGTTACTTGTAATAAATTAACTCTATTTTTTAAAGTTGGTCACCAGTTTTTTTAGTGCACGCACCTGCAGCTTTTGTTAAGAAGGTTTCACATAGGTTTTTCATTGAAAGAAACTGATTTTGAAAAAAAAAATAAAAAAAATATATATATATATTCATTCTCTTTGCTTGATTTTATTATTTTTGCTACTTATATAAATTATTGTCATTTTGGTCCCGACCAAAATTTCCACTTAGCTTTATATTTTTGTCCATCTGATGACGTAATTTACTCAGTACTTGAGTACATTTTTTACCAAACACTTTTTTTTACTTTTACTTGTTGAAGTGATGCTACTCTGAGTAAAATGTTTGTGTACTCCATCCACCTCTGCTTGTCAGTTAGTTTTGTCTTATTTCAAGTGAACTCAGATATTTGTACAGGAACTGGACCAAAGTTACTCGGTAGGATTTTGTGTTTTTGCAGTGTGCGCTTCACATGTCGACCATTAAAACAACGCCCCGCTCCGCCCCGCCCCGGTCCGACCCGCCCCGGCCCGCTGCCAGCTGTTTCTGGCTTTGGCAGCAGAGAGAGGAGAGGAGGACGAGGCCGCCGGTCGGAGTCATGAAGCGGCAGCTGGAGATCGCCGCCCTCGGCGTGGCCGCCGCAGGTTGGCTGGCCGCCGTCCTCACTCGCTGCCTGGCGCTGTGGACGGTCAGCGGGACGCTCAACAACCAGACAGCCAGCCTGCCTGCCTACTGGGATGGGGTGTGGCTACAGTGGGATCACTGGGATCTGGCCCACGATGGCAGCCTGCACTGCTCTTTCTACCAATCCCTGATGTCTCTTTCTGGAAGTTTTCGCACGTGGAGGGCTCTCATCATGGCCGCCATTGGAGTCGGGGGCTTCGCCATGGTGGTCGGAGTAGTGGGGCTGGTTTGGTTCCCCGGGAGGGGCCAGATCAAGGTGTTTTCTGGGAGTTTTTTCATCGTGGCTGGGATCCTGTTGCTGGTTCCCACAGCCTGGACGTGCCACCACACCAGCCAGCCACTAGAGGGCGCGGTGCCGCTCAGGAGAGACTGGGGACCTGCTCTGTACCTCGGATGGATCTCCTTCGCGTTGATGCTGGTCGGTGGGGTAATTCTGACCACCAGATGCCCCACCGCTGGGGTGCAGGAGGGGCAGCCTGGCGGCGGCATGAGCCCGGATGAGGAGGCCAGCAACCCGCTGAGCACCATCAACAGAACCGCGTTCACAAACAGCCAATACAACCGCAGGTCACCGCCCATCTGACAGAACTGGACCGCACAGCAGAACCAATGACAAGTGAAATTAATGCTCTCAGGAAAACTTCTGACTGCACTTTTTTTTTTTTTAAGATATAAAGGGTTAGAATGAACTTAAATGAGCAGAACTCCACATACTTTATTAACAGGGGTGATTTTTGCTGTGTTTTCTTCTACTTTAACAAACTATTTGCCTTTTTGTTTATTATTTCTACCCTAGTAAAACAAAACAGTGACTTGTTCTACTTGCTTCATACAACGGCTCTCGGATATTGAGAAACGATCAACGATCATTTCCTGGACGCATTTCCACTACAGATGTGCGCAAAACTCAATATTCCCGTAATGTAAAAAAAAAAAAAAAAGATTATTTTGCAATTGACTGCGAAGAAGGAAGTGCTGATCACAGCAGAAAATCAGTGCAGAAAATCGACTCATCGTTTATGATGGAGCATTAGGGCTATTCAGGTTAGAAAAGAAAGTAGGAGCAAATTTCCACCAAAAAAACTCAGAAATTTTGAGATTAATCTTGTCTACAAAAACCCTGGAATTTCTGAGCTTGAAAACTCAATTTTCAAAAGTCCAAATTTTTAAACTTTTGAGCTCAGAAAATGTAACAATTCTTTCTAGAAAATATGTGAAATTAATCTCAAAAATTGAGTTTTTTTCTTGCAAATTTTTGACTTGCAGAGCTCTGAAATTTACAACTTTTTTCTAGAACATTTCTGAGATCTCAACATTTTCTTGCAAATCTTAATGCTTTTGCAGCTCAGAAATTTCCAAGTTTTTTCCAGAAAATTTCTGAGATTAATCTCAAAATTTCAGAGTTTTTTGGCAGAAATCTACTCCTTTCTTTTTCTATCCACACTTTCCCTAACACACCGTCAAATTCCCCCAACTTCTCTTTCTACTTTCTGATTGGCTGGTTGAAATTCTATTGGAGGAATCCAAGTGAATGGGAGAAAAGCCAGAATATGCTGTGAAGCGAGATTCAATCTTTGAATTTTGTTTATTTCTTGCATCCAAACATACCACAGTAATAAACTAAACTCTGTTTAGTGTTGCGATGACAACACTAAACACTGTTGGATAATTTCAGCACATTTTTATGACTGCAAAGTAATCTCTTTAAAACAAACTACTGTTTGCAGAGATGGTTAGCAACTTGCTACATTTACTTGAGTAACGTTTTGGGAAAATATAGTTTTAGAATTTTACTACCTGTACTTTTTATTTTTACTTGAGTAATTTTACTATGAAATATTGCTACTTAAGTAAAATTTCTATATTCTCTACCGAACAACCTTATTTTACTCAAAAGTTTTATATTGAAATAATTTGATTTGTAACGATGTTATTTCTATGAATTATTTCCATTTTGGTTTTACAAACATTTCCACATAACTGTACATTTTGGTCCATCTGATGATGTAAATTTGAAATATCAAATACTTTTTCTTGGACGGCTACTTTTTACTTGAGTAAAAACATGTTGAAGAAGTTCTTCTTTTACTAGAGTATAATTTTGGCTTCTCTTCTGATCTGCAGACTAAACTGAGTCAGATGTGATGGAAACAGTTTAAGGAGGGATTAGTGAAGGATTTAATAGGTTTTACAGCAGAGTAATACACTTTTGACTAAATATATCAGTTTCATTTTCCCTGCAGTTGAACAAAATGACGAGTGACAAAATTCATCTATTTTATCTCAAACTGTTGTGTTTGGTTGAACTGGAAGTTTAACAGAAACTCGAGGCATGTTGGAACACGACCCAAAGCTCAAACAGGATGGGCGGCGTTGAGTTGCCGTTTTGTTCTCTGAATCAAAGTCGCAGCCTTTAAAAAAAGCACAAAAGTTTTGAAATTATACTTTTATATTTCTGCAGCTTTATGGTTCCTCTGTGTTTCTTCAAATGTGATTTCATGTAGAAAATCTGCTGAATTTAACCTCGACTTTTCAGACTTTGTCAAATGTCGAAGGATGAAAAACAATAAAAAATAAATTTTATTTAGTCATTAACTTATCCAAATTTAACACTGAAAGCCAAAGAAGCCTGACTCTTTAAAACTTGACTTTCTTCTAGTTAAACTTTCTGCTTGAACTTTAAATGAAACAAAATCATTTTAAACTTCAGATTTAAAATTGTTTAGTAAAATCATCGTGTCTGTTTTTCCTCTTAGCTTTGTGTGTTGATTCTGCTTCAGGAGATGCAAATAAACATCTGATTTTCCATCTTTTGTTCAAATCTTCTTGCTTTTTAAAACTAGATAAATATAAAAAAAATAAAGGCAAATTTAATATAACAGCCTCCCTGGTAAAAATCCTGAAAACATTTTCTTATTTTATCCCAGAGTTCCCATTAAACACTGAAGTCCCATTTTCAGTCTAAAGGCATTTATTTATTTATCGAGTTAATGGTGTCACACTTTTGCAAACAGACCCACAGCATGACAGATCCTCCGCCATGCTTATTATGATAAATCTGAGTTCCTTTTCCACACATTCAGCCTTTTTCACACAGTTCTAATGTAGAAAACACCAAATACTCCATTTCTGTTTGTGATGATAGGACAAAATCTGTGAAGTACATGGTTGCTATGGAAACCCAGTGACCCACCAATTTGATTTTGATTACATAAAACCAAACCTAAATGCCATGTATACCAGTCTTTCCCATTTTGAAAAGCGGCTAAAAGAAACGTGCCGTTATGCCTCAGGAAAACTGTTCACGGAAAAAAACCAACACCTTCAGTTATATTTCTAAGGTGATATTTTCAGAAACAATAATGTCTCAACATTATATTAAAGACTGTAATAATAAAACTAATTTATTTCTATTTGGCTGCCAGGAAAAGTGACAGATTGTGTGAATATTTATAATTATTTTATGTCAGTAAAATCCCAGTCGACAGAAAACCATCAGGTTTCTTTCTGTTTAGCTGCAGAGGAGGACTAATTGTTGGAGATAAATATTTACCTCTGGGCCTTTGAAGATAAGGAAGGAGTCAAAGATGTGCACACAGGACAGGGAAATAATAAATAATAACATATATGTCAGAGCTAATTGCTGACTTTAGTTTTTTACATTTGAATGCTGAAGGCTGCCATCAGATAAAAAGCAGCAGTGAGGTTAGTGAGAGTTTCTTTTAAGTGTGGCTGCTGCGTTAAAGGCTGAAATAAGGTGAGTTAGACAGCAAACTGTGTCTCTGTAGGAGTTTTAGTGAATCAGAAGTGAATCAGCTCCTATAGCTTCTCGTCTCCTTCCTCCACGTCCTTCAGGCTCAGCACCTCCAGAGAACCTCGGCCTTTGGTCTCACAGCGGATCAGCTCATCGATCTCCCTGAAGCAGCCGGGATCCACCAGAACCACCTGGCAGGGAGACGGGGAGGAAGGTCAGAGAGCAAAGGTCAGAGAGCAAAGGTCAGCGCTGCTCACTGAGCCACAACACTTAGCAGAGGTTAGCAGCAGTTAGCTGGGTTAGCACCGGTTAGCTGAGTGAGTTAGCATGGTTAGCAGCTGTTAGCAGAGGACAGCAGCAGTTAGCTGAGTGAGTTAGCATGGTTAGCAGCTGTTAGCAGAGGATAGCAGCAGTTAGCTGGGTTAGCAGCAGTTAGCTGAGGTTAGCTCACCATTTCCAGCTCTTCGTCGAACTCCTCGCTCTCCACCACCTGCAGCAGCGGCTTCAGCTTCTCCCTCAGCCTCTTGGCCTCCTTGGCCGGCACCGCCAGCCGCAGCCGCATGTGGGCTCTCTGGATCTCCATGGTCTCCTTCAGCTGCCGGATCACTTCCAGGGCCTGGAGGGAGAAAACAGAGGGAACATGGAAGGAGCTGCAGACTAAAGATCAGGTCTTTAGCAGAAAAGACACAATTACACCAGAAGAAGTTTTTAAAATTACAAGACAAAAGTATTTTTAATGAACAAAGCTTTGATGGAGTTATTAAGATCTGTCATGAGCAGCTCAGTCCGTGTCGTTTTTTTCTTCTAAATGGACTCAGACGTTTGTTCAGTCGTTTCAAAGTCCTGCTGCTGATAATGATTTGATGCTGATGTGTTCAAACTATAAAACCGATACTAAAGTTTTACTTCACAAGATGCTCAACAACTCCTCATTTTAATTTTTGTTGCATAAAATTATTACTTAATTCTGGAAACGTTAACATGTTATTCTGTTGTTGTATGGCTGTATTATTGCAGTACAGTGACTTTATTCCGCCGTACAGTTGACCTGAAGTCCAAATAAATAGAAACATTCTTGTCAAACAAGATGGCCACCGTGGGCGTGCCAACATCACTCTGACCCAATGAGTGCATCGGTGAGGGGAAAAAATCTGATTTTCTAAAAATTTACTCTTCAAAAAGCAACAATTTTCTGCTTTATTATCTGAATAATTATGTTGAATATTTATTCTGTGCCAACTGAACACAATTCAGCAAAATTTATCCAAGTTTCTATTTCAGTTATTAGGACGTTTAATTTTACTTTACTTCATTTTTGTGTTCAGACCTGGAAAACATACCAAAAAGGGGTTATGTAGAGTCTTAAAACAGATTAAAAAGTTGATAGTAGCTATGATTTTGTACAACAGCAGCAGATATTTCCGCTTCCTTGTAGGGCTCAGTTTTCCCTGCTGACCTGCTGCTTGGTGCTCTTGTTGGGCTTCACAGAGTAGTGGATGTCCTTCATCGCTCGCTCGATCAGGCTGACTGTGTAAGGCCTCTTAGTGTCTGGATTCACACACTTCTCCGCCACGATGGAGGCGATGTCTCTGAACATGGTCTCCAGCTGGCTCTGCCTCTCCTTGTCAGACACCTGGAGTTCCCCTTTGGACAAAATCTGTCATAACGAAACAAACAGAGCGAAACGTTCAGGAAAAGTTCCGAATGCCAGGCTAGAAACTCCTCGTGTTTTATTCACCTGTTTGCAGATTTCTGTTTGATCACCTGTTCCAAAAGCTTTGACCAGGTCATCCTTCTTCGCCATCTGACCTTTGGAGACATTGACAAAAACAGAGTGTGTCTGCAGCACCTCGTCCAGGTCTTTCTCTCTGCAGTAAAAACAACAAACAAAAACGTTTGTTCCACCCAACGGTCAACCGAAAACAATAAAAAACGCATTCTGAAAGTCTCACAACTGCTTTCAAAACGGACAAATAACCCGTTTAAATCCCTAAAATGTCAGAGAAAAGTCCCGGATGATGGAGTTTTAAAGTGACTCACGCGCCTGATCTCCAGCTCATTACTTTATTTTTGTAACAAGCGATTTCAAACCGCTTCCCGCCCTTCTTCATCCGAACCACGGCGACGTTGGTCAGTCGGATCTGGTTTGTTGGAGTGAATATAGACATGTTTTTGTTTGATAAGACACTGAAGAAAAGTGTCTTCGAATCGCTGCTACAGTAAATAAGATATGACGTCACCGGATGTGTGTCTAGAATACGGATCCGGTGAGAAATGCGAAGAATGAAATAACAGTTCCGCTCCCGTAACTGTCGATATCAGCGCCAAAAACTCTCAAAAAACTAACATTTATAAAATATTTTTTAAAAACAGTTATGTCTTTCTTAATTTATTACAGTAAATGAAAGTTATAATTACGTTATTCAATTAGAAACGGACAAATTACCTGCAATGTGACTAACCGAGGGAATGATTTTGCTGTCCTCTTATGGCCGTAAGAAAAGTTTTCAGAAATTTTTTAACTGGGACTGATGTAAATTGTCAGAAAGACAGCTGTAATTTCAGTGAGATAATTTTACATTTGAAGACATTACTTAAATTTCATAAACCTTTCTTTCTTCTGTGAAAGCAGAAAATAAAACCCTAATCTTCATAGCCTTTCTTAAGTTTATCTGTATCTGCTGCCACCTGGTGGTCATTTAGCAGAACATCCTTTTGCAGTTTCCTTTTAGATAAAAAAAATCTTTTAAATGTTTAATTTCTTTAAACACACAATCTTACTGAAAAGTTCACACTCTCTGTATGAACGTTCAGAAATAAAGGTGACTATTCAAAATTGGGCCAAAAATTCTCATAAGGACAAAAAGTTTAAAGCTTTCTCTTAGACGGATTCCTAATTTAGCTGACACTAAATAATAATAATAACAGTAATAATAATAATAATAATAATAATAATTTAGAAACGTAAAGAGCTGTCAAAGACTTCGACTCCCAGCATTCCTTGCGGCCAACCAACATGGCAGCGCACTATCGCACAAGATTTTGAGGACGCAATATTTGAAAGTTTTCCCTTTTTGCAGCCATGTTAGCTTTGTTTACTGTCATTTCCTTTCTTACGGGCTCTTTGCCTGCCTCCGACACTAAAGGTGAGTTTATTTAAGCGTTTGCTTTAACTGAAAAACTCTTTTACGTCTTCATGTTTTGGTCGAGCCACACTGTTGATTTCCAGATAATTTAAAGCGGGTTTTTGTCCTGAGACGTTGGGCTGGTTTTGGTGAATATTAGAAGAGTCAGTTGGACGTTTTTTCTCCGTGCAGTCCCTCCGGATGTCCACAGTCCCACTGAAAACTATCTGCTGTGGATGTGGAACAACAGACTCTACGTTTATTCTGCTGCTGCGCTGCTGCTGGGTTTCTGCTTCCTTCTGCAGGTTACACGAAGGAAGGTGAGTCCTGCCTTAGTGACGTCAACACCACGCAGGATTATTGATCTTCATTAATCCTCTCTGTTGTTGTCTGTTCAGATAAATCATACAAAAGATTCTGGTTCTAAGGATTCTGGTCTGAAGGTTCAAAAAGCTGCAAAAAACGAAGTCAGCTCAGATGAAGATGCTGATGTTCATGTTTCAGGGGTTAAAATCTTCTACGGCTCACAAACTGGGACAGCAAAGGTACACAAATCCTCACATCGTACGGAAAACATACGATTATATAAATACACAAAAATAAGACCCTGAAAAATGGCTTCCTTAGCCTTGACAATGTGAAATACAGCAAGATTAGCCTCTGGAGTTGTGACACATTACAACAGCGTGTTACGGCCACTATAGATAGAAAAAGTGAAACATTTTCTGTGGAAAACTCAGAAAGTTTGAGATTATTCTCAGAAAGAAAACTTGGAAAATTCTGAGGCTCAAAAGTCAAAACCTTTCGACTTGTGAACATTTTCTGAGTTTCAAAAGTTGTAAATTTTTATCTTTTCAAAATCAGACATTTTTTTCTAGAATAGGGGAGACCGGGTATGGTTGTAACACTTTTTGCTCCAGCACCTTTAACTCACAGAATTTTTGAGCTAGAGTTTTCAAACTTTTTCAAACGTTTTTCTACTTCAGAGATTAATCTAAAAGTTTCTGAGTTTTTTGGGGGGTAAATTTAAAGTATCCCTAATAAAAAGTGTAGTATGATAGTCTATGATGAGAGGCAGAAAAAATGGAGTAAATTTCTGCCAAAATGTTTTTAAGAAAAAATGGGACATTCTGTGATGTTGGGCAGCTGTAAATATGAAAGAAAAATAACGTTTTTTATTAAAAGCTTACATTTCTGATATGAAAGAGGATATTTATAAGAAAGAGCCCAGTGATTATAAAGTCAGATATTTGCGACAGAGTCACAACTTGTTGACATCAGGAAATGTTCAAATGTATTTCTGATAAATGTGTGAAGTTAGTCACATGTTTCCTGCTGTTTGTGTGTTTCTGTTTGTCAGGGTTTTGCCTCAGAGCTCTCACAGGAGGTGCAGGCTCTGGGTATCCCAGCGGAGGTGATGGACATGAAGGACTTCGACCCAGACGACCGACTTGCAGACGAGGTAAGCAAAGTCCAAACGCGTCCGATTCCTGCAGAGTCGGGAAAACTTTCGAAAAGGCTGGAATTAGATTTAAATGTTTTTCTGTTCTCTAAAAAAAGAGACTAGTGCATAGAAAAACTGTTATTTTCAAATCAATCAGTCGCTGCATGTTTTCTATTTAAACCCGAGTCATGTAGAAATATCTGATATGAATTCATAGCAAATATTTGCATCCGTTCCTTAAAATGAAATGTGGTAGAAAGAACGAGGAGCTCATTCTCACCACGGTGCTTTGGAGCCAATGTGATGTAAATCTAAACAGGAGATGGTTCATTGAATTACTTTAGAGCAGTGGTTCTTAACCTGGTTCGGTCGAACCCCAGGGGTTCGGCGGAGCCTCTGCCGCGGAGGTAAAGACACACCGTGTAAAGTTGTGATGACGCCCCGCTTTGCCATCACTTGCTGCAGAGGATCACGTTTCACATCAACTTTCTTGCTGTGTTTAGCAACATTTCAGACAAAATCTCGGATTCGCCAAAAATCGGAATCTGCAGGTCAGGATTTTTAATAGATCGGCCAGAAAACTGCAGTCGGTTCTCCTCTAACACCAACATTGTATTTTATTTATTCATGTTTTATTCTCTGTGCTTAACCTTTTTTTCCACAGAATACTTTATTTTAATGTGATGTCACAGTAGACAGACAAAAAGGGAGGAATAAATTTCCGCCAAAAAAAATCTCAGAATTTTTTTCAGAACTTTTTTTTTAATTTCCCAGTTTGGAAAGTCAGACTTTTGAACCGGAGATTAATCAGAGTTTCCCTGTTCCATGAAGGTTTCCTGCTTTAACCTCTATGCCTCCTTCAGTGCGTCAGTAAGTCCGTCTGCGTGTTTCTCGTGGCCACGTACACGGACGGACGGCCCACCCAGAACGCCGAGTGGTTCTGCAAGTGGCTGGAAGAAGCGTCCACCGACTTCCGCTACGGCAACTCCTTCCTCAAGGGGCTCCGCTACGCCGTGTTCGGCCTCGGCAACTCCGTCTACGTTGGCCACTACAACACGGTCAGACCAGAACCAAACAGAACCAAAAAGGCTCGGCGGCTTGGTTTATTCTGCCGGTTCCGTTCCCGCCGCAGGTGGGAACAAACGTCGACAAGTGGCTGTGGATGCTGAGCGCCAGGCGAGTGTTGAGCAGAGGAGAGGGCGACGGCAACGTGGTGAAGAGCCGACACGGCAGCGTTCAGGCCGACTTCCGGGCCTGGAAGGTCCGGTTCCTGAGCCGCCTCAGGGCTCTGGCCAGAGGGGAGAAGAAGAGCTGCAGCGGGAACTGCAAGAGCGGCGCTTCCTGCAAGAACCGGAAGAAGCACGGAGCGCCGGAGGAGGAGGAGCACGGATCCGAGGTAACGGGAAACTTACCGAGGATTTTCGTCTGGTTGCTGAAATACGACGAAACTAACCTGCATTTTTCTCTGGGCTATAATCAAATTAAAGGGTTTTAAGAGCCATTTATAGTCCAGAAAATAGATAGGAGTAACTTTTCAGCGAGATATAGAGACGCAAATCTTTATGGCCTTCGGTTCGATTCCAGTTTTTAATTCAGAACAAATTTTTTTATTCAAACAGTTTAAAGATTCTGTTTTAAATTTAAATTAAAATAATGCCAAAAATTATTCCAAATATAATTTTTACAAAGAAATTAAGCAGACTGAAATACATTTTTTAATTGATTGGTAAATTATTTACTTTATAAGAAGTTATAAGTTAAATAACCTGCCAGAGGAGCTTTCCATTCCTTCCCAGACATAAACAGAAACGTCCCATAAAAAATAAATAAATAAAAATACATCCAGACTATTTGGACTGTTTTTAAGTTATTTTCACAGGTGATAAAGTTTATTTGTTGCTATTCTGGTTAAAAAATGACCTTTTTCATGTGCATCTCCAAATAAATATAAACACAAAGTTAATCGATCGGTTTCCACTGATGCTGTGTTTGATAATTCACTGCGAGGGAAAATGAAAATCCCGTGTCCTCAAACAGACTCTGTGGAGATAAATGAATAAATAATGATTTATTTTAATGCTTCAGGTGGAGCTGATTGAATCCAGCAGTGAGGAGGAAGAGTCCGGCTGGCCGGATGAGAAAACGTCGCGCTCTGTGGTCGACGTGGAGGATCTGGGCAACATCATGAGCAGCGTCAAGAAAGCAAAGGTTAGGTTTCACCGCCATTAAATCGGCTTTTTAAGCTGCTCATGCTGGAAAAATGAGAGCAAAACTTAATCAGTATTCCACTAATATAAAAAAAACACATTGTTGTAATTGCGTTGTTTCCATCCATGCCAGACCGAACATGTCGTAACTCCGCCACTCTTTACGATATCTGAAAAACCAAAACGGTTCCTGAAAAGGGAGACGTTGTGCTTTCCAGCCGATCGTCAGGTTATTAACGTTATTTCATCCCCGCCGCAGCAGGAAGTGAAGAGAGGCTCTCTTTTAATGGACGGTAAACTGTGAAAATAACTCGCTAGATATTGAAAGTTCCAGTTGTAACTGATAAATATGTTTACTCAGGATATTTCAAGAACTGCGTGTAATTAAAATAAGCAAAAATATCCAGGCGGAGATTTGAAACTCGAGGGAAATTATTTTCTAAAGTTCGTCTCTCTACGTAAAAGAAGCTTCAGTCTAGATTCAGTGGATTTCCAGGATTCTCCGGGTTAAAAGCAGCAGCGGCGCCTGCATCCGTTCAAACCTTTTCCAGTGAAAAGGAAAAAGGAAATCTGTCAGTGGGAGAAACGGCAGATGGGTCGATAGACATCAGACCACGGCGGAGAAGAAACGGAGGCTTGCGTAAAATCTGCGACGCCCACTTCACAGATCTGAGAGGGCCGGGTGAGTCGAGACGGGAGGAAGGAGACGAAACCAGTTCTGCTTTTCCAGGGCTCATTTCGAACGAACGAAATGATTCATTCATTCATTTCCTACCCTGTATTCTAAACTCTAAACCAGGTTTAATTCGATGTTTCTGCTAACAGGAAGAAAATCCTGCTGCTTCTTTCTAATCACTCATCTTAATTAAAGGATGAAAACAATTGGATTGATTTAATTAATTGGTGGATTTATTTAAATTCATTTAAAAAGTAAAAATTTTACTTTTTAGAAAGTACAAATTTAATCACAGGTCTTAAATTTAGTCTTGCCAGGACTATTTAATCTCCTATTTTAAGTACTTTTATCTCTGACTTTTCTGTCAGGCAACAGTTTGACTCACTGCTAACACAGCCTTGCTAGCTGTGTAGCTGTAAAGCTAGCAAGCCAGCTAACACAGCCTTGCTAGCTCTGTAGCTGTAAAGCTAGCAAGCCGTGTAGCTGTAAAGCTAGCAAGCCAGCTAACACAGCCTTGCTAGCTGTGTAGTTGTAAAGCTAGCAAGCCAACTAACACAGCCTTGCTAGCTCTGTAAAGGTAAAGCTAGCAAGCCAGCTAACATAGCCTTGCTAGCTGTGTAGCTGTAAAGCTAGCAAGCCAGCTAACATAGCTGTGCTAGCTTTTTTGCGTCTATCATGGGTAAGTGCAAATTTATTTCCAGTTGCTGGACGAAGCTCATGCATTTCAGTGGAGATAAAAAGTCTTAATTTCCATCTATAAAGCTGCTGCTGGTGTCGGCAGGCAGAAACGGACCGTTGGACCAAACCGCTGCGTCGTTTTCTTTCCCAGCGTTTCGTCCACAGGAGGAGAATGATAATCGCTTCAGATTAGGGATTAAAATGAGTTAATTCTGTCAGAAACTTTGTTTTCTTCCAAATAAATGTGCAACATGTGGAAACATGTCTGGTTTTCTGTGTGACAGTTTTATATTTAAAAGTACAGTACAGAGAATAAAACCAGACTGGTTAATGTTTTGTTCCCAGTTACTAAAACATATAAAAATAATTTGAATGAAAAAACGTGAAGTGCTTTTAATAATGTTTATCACATATTTTATATTAACTAGAAGAACAACAAAAAGGCTGTTTTAGTAACATTTTTATATATTTCATGCATTGGCAGTTTTAAAAATAGTTTCCATAAAACATGTTAATGTATATAAAATGTTACATTTACTTTTTTACAAATACAGCAGCAAAAGTCCCATGTTTTTTAAATAAATATCACAGCATTTTATGTTATTTTTTTAATCTACGCAGAATCTTTCAGGTCATTTTCAACTTTTAAAAGAAGAATGTGAAGCTTTTCACTGTCAATATCCAATATTTCTGTAAAATAAACATTTCTTTTCACTTAAAGCAGCTGATTGACATAAATAGTTTTTTCTTTATTTGCTCTGAATTCCTCATAATCTGAGAGCTTAAAGTCAGAAACCTTTAATTAGATTAAACATTTAGTTAATTCTTTATCCTGGAGAAGCTTAACTGAAGAGAAATCCCTGAACACGTTAAAACCGCTCAGCCTGTGAAGGAACTAAAACCCCGAATTAAAACCCATCCAAGCAGAAATCTGCACACCGGCGTTCTTTCAAAACGTCGCTCTAGTCTGGACACATTCGCTGACTCGGCATCGGCTCGTTCGCGACACGCCGACATTTAAATCCCCGCGGACCGACCGGCGCAGGAAGTGGCAGCTGTACGGTAATTGGGCGAAGCTGTCGTTCGTTTTACGGGCGGCTCGTTAATCACACCTTTCTGCTCGCGGCTTTTCTGGGGATCATCGATCCTCTCTTTGTGTAACACAGCGGGGATGTTTAACTTTTTAAACAAATTGGATTCATGGGTTAAAAGGTGTTAATCTGTCAAGTAAATGGGATTCAGCAGTTTTAGCAGCAAAACAAGAACCTGCTGGAAAGTAGGAACCATCGCGTCCAAACCTTTGGCCATGAACGCCAAAATCGTTAAGTTGAAAACACTTTCAGGTCAAAAAAAGTATTTATTTTTGTTAAAGTTTATCTGCTCAAACTCATTGTAGACAGAAACATAATTAAAAGGTTTTGCACCGTTATTTTATCATAAGACAGGCCTACAATTTCTAATCTTTTATTTTCTTTTTTTTTGCGTTTGAGTAAAAGTACGTCTGTGATTGCTGTTGTAATTACTTCAAAGTTAAGATGAATGCAGAAATATTGTTAATAAATAAGAATTTATCATTTGTACCTCATACTTTTTTAAAGATGTTATTTATTTAAATTTTTAATCAAATGTTTGTTTTATAGAGTATTTTTCCAATAACTTATGTTTTTTTTTTTTTATTATTTTTGTCCTTTATGGCCCTCCGTATCTCAGAGCTTTTGCATCAGTATGAGGATTTTGCATGAAGCACAGTGAAAGTAAAATACCAACATGAATGAATGTCATTTGAAACACATCAGTAGTTGTTTGGGACATTGATGCTGAGGCGCCGTTTTGGTTAAAAAGCCTTATGTGGAGCAGATTAACCCGACCAGGTCCTGGTAGTTTATCTGTGTGAAGATGTTAATAAATTACCCTCTAACCTTTGGAGAATAAGAACGAAGTTCTGCTAAAGGAGTGATGTGAAGTGAAAACTTGCCAGCAGAGAAAGGTCACGAAACCTGAGCGGTTCTTTCCCACACAGAGTGAAATGTCAAAGAAATGTCAGATACCTGAGGAAACAAGGCGGCACCAGGAACTACATTTCACTTAAAATGTATTTTTTACAAAAACAAAAGGGTATTTATAAACCCTAAGGGCTGATAAAAAGGAGTAGTAATTTTTTCATTAAGCAGAAAATAGAGATATTACCATACAATTGTTACTTTTATTAAGTTCAAAGACGAAGTTGATATGGTTCATCTTAAATAAGTCGGATTTTTCAGCTTTTTCTGCTTTTCCTATACAAAAAAACTGATTTTGAAATATTTTATCCTCTGATCGGGGAATAATTGTCTGATTTTCATCACTGACTGATTGGCCTGTCACGATAAAAAATTTTGCTGGACGATAAATTGTCCCAGAAATCATCGCGATAAACGATATTATTATTTTGAGACCATTTTCAAGTAACATAATAGTCATAATCTCATCAAAAGCATCAATAACATTTGGGTTAAAAATAACAAATGTTACTTACATTAGTGTAAACAATCTTTCACCTGCTGGTCATATTGTTACGCCTCAGTTAAACCTTTAAACCAGGTCTGATCTGTTTTCAGGGTGTGAAAGGGGAACAAGGAGGCCAAATGGTGAAACTGTCCAAACACAATGGAGTGATGAAGACTGAAGATGAAGAGGAGAGGAGGGAGATGATCACCCCGGCTCTGAGGGAAGCACTGACCAAGCAAGGTGAGGAAAAACAGGCTGGAAATCGACAGGAGACGACATTTAAACGTTAAAACTGAATTATTTAATTAGCTAGAAAGTTCTTCAGTTTCAATTTAACATTTAAAGGAAGGAGGAAGAACTGGATGCTGCAGCTGAAATACCTGCTTATTGTTTAATATCAGTCAATATCTGAAATTATTGATTCATTTTCTGTTTTAAAATCAGAAATACTTCCAAATTGGTGACACGTTTTCTGTTTAATCAACAGTTTTTAACCCACGCCGTTTCTATTTTTTATTTTTAAGCAGTTATGAGGCAAGATGGCTGAACATTAAACTGCTGTTGTTACTCTGCAGGTCGTTGCTAGGCAACCGAAGAGAGAGTGAGTGAGTTGCTAGGCAACCAAAGAGTGAGTGAGTGAGTGAGTGAGTGAGTGAGTGAGTGAGTGAGTGAGTGAGTGAGTGATTGAGTTGCTAGGCAACCAAAGAGTGAGTGAGTGAGTTGCTAGGCAACCAAAGAGTGAGTGAGTTGCTAGGCAACCAAAGAGTGAGTGAGTTTATTCTGCCAACCTGAAAAGATTTAGGCTAACGTCTTTCCTCTGCCTAAATCTCCCAGAATGCTGTGTGGTTCTGGATCGCAGTTCAGTGAAATTATTGAATATTTTATTGGACGTATTGCCGCTCGATAATGATCACATGTCTATAGCGATATATATTGTTATTAATTTATTATTCAGTCCTATTAAGTTCCTCAGAAATTAGTGAAAAAGCAAAAAAAATCCTGGGAAAAGTTACAATTTTGTTTAAATTTTAACATCGGAGAGATAATTCTCTAACTTTCTGCCTGCATTCTTTTAACAACCATCTTTCAGAAACCAAACCTTAAAAAATAATTTATTTATAAATATTCATCTCCATCTTTTCTGCGATTTGGATTTTCTAGTAATTAATCTCTTTTGCCCTTTTCAGGCCAGAGTTTATAGAGGATTACGGCAAACTGTCAGTTTCATCCTGTGCAGATTAGACATGAACTGCTTGATTCTCAGAAATCATAACTATTTAAAAATAATGATATAATAACTTTGACTAGAATAGTATGTTTTGCAGTTTGAAAAGCATTTTTGGTTTGGTTCTCACTGAAGATGGTGTTTCCTTGTCTTTCCCATTTTGAGCGTTGGCTGAAATAAATGGTTTCTACATCATATTTAAATTCCAGGAATCAAAACTGAAAGTTTCTAGACAATCTGACCAACTTAAAAACACAGCATAGATTAAGATATTCTTTATTTTTTCCTACTGAATCAAATTAAAGACTGGATTTCTGTAAAAATGTCATGTTTTTACCAGGTTGTACCATTCAGCACCATATTGCTCAGGCCAGCCGTTTTCAGCCAACATTTCCTGCTGATATCTTACAGAACCTGCTATAAATAGCTCCTCTTAGCGAGGCTTCACTCCGTTTGACCAAATAATGACCCGTTTCATGTGCGATGCTGGCAGCAGCCACTCCTGGCAGGTGGTTGGTTTTATTTGGGAGTGAAGAACGGAGGATGGAGGTTTGGCTTCGTTTCAGTCTTGAGGGAGGCCGGCTTCCTGTTTCAGTCTCCTCAACACAAGGCACAGGCCAAAGTCACATCCTGCTGAAACTACTGCTGAGTTTCCAGCAGAGTTTCAGCCCACCATCAACAAAACTCAGGATGCTTCAACTTTACCTGCTTTCTACAAGGTTTTTTTGTCTTTTGTTTGGTGATTTTGTTTTCTACCATTGTTGCAAAGTTTACCAAGTATTTTTGGTCTAGTTTCCTGAAACAAGACAAAACCAACATACAAGTAACAACTTGGCAAGATACAAGAGCTTGTTTTAAGTCATCAATTCCTTAATACTCATGAGAAAGTACTAGTCCCACTGTCTTTAATAAGTGAAATAATCTACAATAGGAACTAGTACTTTTTAATCACCATTTAGGAATTATTTATGGAAAGAAGTCCTTGCTGCTTGTATGTACTAAGATGTTTGCAACAGAAACTGGACAGAAATACTTGTTAAGATTTTGTGTTTTTGCAGTTTTGTCCAACCTACACTTGTGTGGAAAGCAACATTATTGTCAGAGTCACAATAACAAATTTAGCTGGACGATAAATTGTCTCAGAATGATAAAATTGTTGTTTTGAGAGCAATTTCAAGTAATATGATGGTAATAATAACAAGGAACACATTCCCAAAAATCAATAAGCTTTACATTCTGGGACTGGAAAACTTTTTAAATATCCAAAATAAATAAACAACCGAAACGACAAATAAAATGAACCATGAAGTCCCTGAAAATGTTCTTTGTACAAATTTGATTTACTCATTTCATGTATTTTCAATGCAATTTCCAAATGTCTAAAATACAAACAAACGTTTACCTTTTCTCTCACATTTGTCACAATTGGGCCATAGATTAATGTGAAGACACTTCTAGTGATTTCAGACATTCAGTTTTAATTTAGCTGATTTTATGCTCTGCTGTGTTTTCTGAAATATTTACTCATCAACACGTTTTTCCTCCGTCAGGTTATAAGTTAATTGGAAGTCACTCCGGAGTGAAGCTTTGTCGGTGGACAAAGGTAAAAACTAATTGGACATTTTCTACCAACTGGGCCACCAAACCTGCCTGAGTCACAGTCAGAGGTCTGTTTGTGTTTGTGGTCTTAGTCTATGCTGCGAGGGAGAGGAGGTTGTTACAAACACACGTTTTACGGCATCGAGTCGCATCGCTGCATGGAGACGACGCCCAGCCTGGCCTGCGCAAACAAATGCGTCTTCTGCTGGAGGTATGCAACCATTACAGCACACAGTACGCTAAATATGTACATTAATCTGTCCGAAAAGTGGCTAAATATAACGGAGACAACCAAACATTGTACTAAAGTAAGAGTAGTACTGCTTCAACATATTTTTACTTCGGTTGTTATTTTGCTGAAGAGATGCTTGTCAGTGAGTTCTGTCTTATTTTAAGAGCACTTGGCTTTAGATAGATAGTTTTAGCTCCACTGGTAGAATATTCCACTGCGCCGTTACCTAGCAACCCCAGCAAAGCCCAACCCGTTACCTAGCAACCCCAGCAAAGCCCAACCCGTTACCTAGCAACCCCAGCCAAGCCCAACCCGTTACCTAGCAACACAGTTCTAGTTCAGGTCTGCCAGTGGAAATGTTACTTTTTCAACAATATTCAAGAATCATTGACTTATAACAAGCTCATATATTTTGCTGAAAAGGTACTTGTGAGTTCTGTCTTATTTTAAGAGTACTTGGCTTTAGATAGAAGCTTAACATATTATATTTTTCTATTTCGTAACTAAAAACAAAAAAAACTCAAGTTTTCATCCTTTTCTGACTGCATTTTTTTGACAGTACTCACAAAGAAAGGTTGGTCAAGTACCAAAAATTATACTCAACATACATTTACTCAAGTAAAAGTAGAACGTATCCGTCCAAGAAATAAAAAGTTGGACTAAAAACGTATTTGGTAAAAAGTCAACTCAAGTTCTGAGTAACTGACCAAATTATCAATCATTTAATATTTAAAAGTTACAAAATCAGGTTAAAAAAATAAAGTTATGTGGAAATTTTTTGTATTTTAAAAACAAAAATGACAATAATTCATACAAGTAACAAAAAATAAAATCAGGCAAAATAAAATGTTTCTAAATGAGTTTGTTTCAATAAAAAAACATGTTTTTCATTCAGTGGGTGAAATATTAAGAAAGTGGAACTAGAACTTTTTCATCAATGTTAAGGAATTATTTACTTAAAACAAGCCTCTATATCTTCCTAAAAACTTACTTTTTAGTTAGTTTTGTCTTATTTCCAGTGCACTGAGATATTTGCACTAGAAACCAGACAAAGTTACTTGGTAAGATTTTGTGTTTTTGCAGTGCGGGCTTTGTTCTTGTTACTACGATACGCTTTGTCTGACCAAATTCAGCTTCGTTGAGTTGAAATGTGAACCCTGATTGGTCCTGAGCTCTGCGTCTCCTCCGGTTTGGTTTCACACAGCGGCTGTGTGGAGCGGGAAAGGTCGCCGCCGGAGCGCGCGGCGGTGAAACCGCGCGGCTGTCGCCACAGATCTGCCGTTCTGTCTGAAGGCCGAGATGAGGGATGACAGGAAATGAGCCATTTCAGGGCGCAGACGCATTGCTGCCCCCGCCCTCACCTCACTGTCACAACAGCTGCTACTAGACTGTTGAGAGTAATATCAGTGGACGACGGTACTTGGAATAGACCGCACTGTCGTGATTTATTATAAACAGACATCAATGTTAGACAATCTTTGTCTTGTTTTAAAAGAGCATATTTTCATTTACATTTGTGTTTTTCCTTTAAGGAAGACCTTACTGAAAAGGCCTGTCATCGTAACAAACTTTGTTGGACGATAATTGATCTCAGAATTTATTGCAATTAACGATAATGTTGTTATTTTGGGACCATTTTCAAGTAACATAATGGTAATGATGGCATTAATAAGCCATTCTCAAATATCAATAAACTTTAAATTCTAATAAACATTTAACACTGGAACTGGAAGACATTTTAAATATATAAAATAAATTAACAAAACAACAAAGAAAATGAATTATAAAGTCCCTGTAAATAAAATTATCCTTAAAAAAATTTGCTAGTTGAGACCAAAACACCAAACTGAAAACTTTTATCATCCAGTTTTTGGTAGAAAGAGAGAAAACGATAAATTATTGAGTTTGTTGCGATTAATTGATTTATTAATTATTGTGACAGGCGTCGGCACGACATAATGATTTATGAAATAAAGAGTCAAATTGAACATGTAAGTAAATAAATATAGTAAATAAAACAACTTTATTAACTCTCATAGAAATGTCCAAAAACCCAGAAGTTTCAACTCGGACTGTAAAGATCTCAGTTGTCTGAATATAAAATGTTAAAGTTTATTGGAAGACAATTGGAAGAAGACTAAACGAGCACGGACTGTGTGAACGGGTGTTTAGATTCTTTCATGCCTGTTGGAGAAGTCACTTAATCTCCATGGCAACCATTCAGCAGTGCAAAACGCCAGGTTGGACGTAGCCCCGCCTTCGAGTCGCAGCTCCTCCCCCACTCAGCTCCTTCAGACTAGCCAGCAGTAATTAGCAACCACCCAATTGGTGTCAGTGAAACACTGGTAAAAACGTTATTAAAGGGTTAATGGAGGAGCCATGTTGTGACGACGTCCTGAAGGAGTTTTTTTAAAGAGACAGAGACCCAATTTCAAGGCGTTAAATTACGTCAAATTTATTTAAAGTTATTTGATATATATCACAACTAAAGGTAACATAGTTTGTTGATTTTTGCTATAAAGTGACACTTTATTCCCCTTTAAAGACATTAAGCCCAACATGTTGACATCAGATAAAGTATAAAATGGCAGGTGTGAATAAAATCAGGCGAAGAGCCTCAGAGTTGAAAAGATTGTATTTTAAACTTCTTCTTCTTCTCCTCGCCTCTCGTTTCGTTTCTGACTAACAGACACCACACCAACCCGGTTGGCACCGAGTGGCGCTGGAAAATGGACCCGGCAGAGAAAATCCTGCAGGATTCCCTGGAGAAGCACCAGAACATGATCCGGCAGTTCAGAGGTGAGCGGCCCAGCAGCCTGGGTGCGTGGCGCCGTTTGGACCTCAGGAAAACGTCCCGCTCCAGACGCCACTTCGCCTCCGTTTGCGGCTCACGACCTTTTGCAACCTTCAGCGTAACGAAGCGCAGAGAAGATTAAAATGCGGCTGTTGTGTCACAGCAGGCTCTAGTGGCTCATGAATCTCTGCTCACACTGCGTCCCACACACACGCTGCGCACTGCCGCTGCTGCCTCCACCCGGAGCTGAGAGGCTGGACGCCTGTTTCAGCGTGTTATGATTAGAAAAGAGAACAAACATCATTTGATTCCAGTTTGATCTGATTCCAGTCTGGAAGAGAGCAGCTGGTCGTTGGGCTCAGCGAAAATAAACATTATTATCATCCCAAGAGGGAAATCGGAGCAAAAAGGCGGCGAGTTGCATTTAGACTTTCATGAACGTGAAAACGATCTAATTGGGGAAAATGTTTTTAAAATAAAAGGTTTTAGAAAAATAAAAATGTCCATATGCATTAAAATGTCTTAAATTCATAAAAATTATTTAAGGCCGTATATTTTAGTTTTTGTTGGGGTTTTTATGTCAAACCAATCCTCTGCATTGATCATGCGTCTTTAAAACAGGGTTTATGACGTGTAGTTTTTAAAAAGTGGAGAATTTTTCCTTAATATTGTGTTTTAGCTCATCTACAGAAATGTATTTTCCCTCACTTTAATTTCCTGCTCTCAGCCTCCTCTCGTCTGTCGCTCGTCTTTATGAGCTGTCAGACGGACGATAAGTTTCCTGTCGTTTTCCATCTGTTACGAGGCCGAGCCGTTTAACTTTGTAACTCTGCTCCGTTTCCGCTGTTCGAGGTTCGTTTACAGGGACGGTCTCTCTCTCTCCTGCAGGCGTCCCCGGGGTGAAGCCGGAGCGATACGAGGAGGGTTTGGCCGCCAAGCACTGCGCCCTGTCCTTGGTAGGCGAGCCAATCATGTACCCAGAAATCAACACCTTTCTTCGCCTCCTCCACTCTCATCGCATCTCCAGCTTCCTGGTCACAAACGCTCAGTTCCCAGAGGAAATCAGGTGGGTAGAAACCAGAAATAAACTCATTTTACTTAGAAAAAAAACAAACTTTCCTTTCATTTTAAAGGCTCTCCTGAAGTTTCCTTAATATTTGGTTTTTAACACGTTGAGACTTTTCCTCTTACTTTCATTTTAGCGTTTTAATGTTTATTTTGTTTATTTGAAAGCTGATTGATTTTTCTGTTGGCTAATATTGTTTTAAAGTGCTTTATAAATAAATTAGTAATAGTATTGTCTCTGATTTTAGTTAAAAACATTTCTAATCTGTAGAAAATAACCGTTATTATCCTTAAAAAGTCTTAAAATTTATATATCTAAAATTAAGGCCTTAAAAAGTCTTAAAATTTATATATCTAAAATTAAGGCCTTAAAAAGTCTTAAAATTTATATATCTAAAATTAAGGC